TAGATATATCTAATGACTAGAATGTTCATATAGGTCGTTTCTACGTTCATAAATGGTCATTTGGTTGAGTTTTGTGTTTGACATGTTTGAAGAACCAAGAATCATAAACCTTGAATTTGATGTTAAAAATATGTTTTAATAATTCTAATATGATCTATGAACCTTGGAGAACATCTCTATATAGTTTAATTGAAGTTCGGTGACTAAAAATGGTTTTCCCGAAAAATGGACCGAGGTTGAAGACGAATGAACAGTGGCTGAAAATCCACAGAGTGGATCGATCCCCTTCATTGGATCGATCCTCTGGGAGTTTTTCTTCTAGTTGGATCGATCCAGAGGGCTAGATCGATCTTCCGAAACTCTGGTCCGAAAATTTGTCTGAAATTGCTATTTTTGAGCTCTAAAATCCTATTTTTGATACCAATTGATTATGATTATTATAAAAATGATTTTTCATAACAAAAATGATGTTTTTAACAAATTAAAACATTATGTGATGCATGACGGTAAGTTCGGGTGTTAACACTCGAGACTAGGCCGCTAATTGTTATTAAATGTTATGCTAAATGATTTTTATGATGAACTATTATTGTGGCCAATTATGAATGATTAACCTACTGATTGGTATGATTAACTCATGATTAAAAATGGATATAATGATGATTATGAAATTGATGTATATTATTAAGGATATCTAGAAGAACTCTAAGATATACCCACTTATATAATGATGATGAATATTAAGGATATCTAGAAGAACTCTAAGATATACCTCCTTGACCAATTCATATTTCGGGGTTAAAACGTACGTACGGGATCCAGAACGGATATCACCCACCCGACAGTTCACTGTTCGGTTGGTACGTAATCCACATGACTCATAGGGTGGATTATCGATTCTTGTGTTCTGCATTAAACTATTTATAGTTTAAGGGCTTGGTTAGAATTACTGCCTTAGACTAGGAATAGCTAAGAGCTGAATATAAAATGATGTGGCCTTAGATTAAGAATAATTTAAGAGCATTATTGATATATATTGAATATCAAATGACTTGGAATAAAATATTGAGAATATCGTGAATGTTTGAATCATATATTGTGTGCATGATATCAAATGGTTGATTATGAATTGAGATTCAATTTATGTGGATGTTCGACGTTTTAGATATGCTTACTCAGCTTCACCGCTGAGCGTGTAGTATGTTTTATTTGCTACACGCAGGTAAACAGAAAGATTAATGTGATCCTGGCGGCAGATGGGGCGAGATTGTCGGGATGGATGTGACAAGTTTTGAAATGATTT